TCTCAACAACCTCTGTGCAGTTACATCACCGTGCCCCCAAAACCGTGTCAGGAAGTTGTTATGTAATCTTTGGACTTTGAAAATGCGTCGCGACAATATTGCATTGCAGGCACCCCATTCTCGACACGTTTATACATATACTGCTTGCTCTAGAGTCGTGAGTTCAATTCTTATTCAAATTAATACCCAAGCTCGATGGAAGGAAGTGTCAGAAGTGTCAGGTCAGAAGTGTCAGAACTTACAAGAAAACCCCTGTCATCACAGTGCCAGAGAGTCCAGAGTATCTCTGACGTCTCTTGCCACCTACCTGGAGTTCCTCCCTTCCATCCTCTCCAAATGATGATTGAGGACAACTGTCAACTACCCTCGGCTCACTGTTCAACGAGCCTGGCAGGCTGGATGGATCATCGAGCCAACCACGGCTGCGTCAGTCTCCACAGAGTGACAGCCAAAAGTTGGCACTAAAGTTTGAGAAAATGGAGGCACTTCTGAGGGACTTGGGATTTGATTCTGTTGGAGAACTCCTGATGATTTTATTTTACAACCTGATTCGCATCACTGGGCAGTCCAATCCTCGAGGTTCCTTTCATGCAAAGGCCATTTCTTGATTTCTTCAAGGACGCAACAACATCAAAATGTCTGATATAATTTCCCTCATCTACGGGCATAAACATAGTGCACCTTCACCAGGATCTCCGCAATATTCTGAGCGCCATGCCTCATTCTCACCCTTGGTCTCTCCTGCAGACATATTTCATGCTCGTCCCTCTTTATTTTCGTGGGCAACAAAGCTTGTTGCCAATCATGTTCACTGCAAGATCTATGCGCTTACTACCAAGGATAATAATACCCACATTCGAGCATCAACAAATGGGCAGCACTCGGATCACACTAACGTCGTAACCTGGGATACACTCGGAAAGTTTAGTATTTCTGCTCTCATTGAGAAATACAAGGTGGATGCAAAAAAAGAGGAAAAGAGCACACAATATTATTTGCAAGACCCTTAATTGGTGTGATTACAAACCCAATAGGCTTTGCTTGAGTAGGAAGACCATGGGGGTATGCCTCAGGATTGTTGTTGTATTCAAGAAGAACTAGACAGAGAATTGCGAAGGCAGCTGACTTTCCATCCCCAGTTGCAGTGCAGCAGAGTATATCTCTTCCATCCAGAATACCAGATATAAGTTTGAGCTGGACCGCATGCAGACTGTTTGTCCATGTTGGTATGATCTTCTTCACAATCACATTGATAATCTCAAGGCCTATGGGATCCTGCCAGCAGTGTCCTGAAGCCATTCTTTGTTGAATTTAGGCAAATAACAGGTAATAACATCGAGAGCGACAATAGAATGGAGGCTTAGGACTTGGTGTTAACCAGATAAAACACTAGTTATTCGACTAAAGAACTACTCTAATTGTAACTAGTATTTATACAAGTACAGGAATGATAACAAAAATAGTATTCTTACCTCCTGACCTCTGGCATAATGTTCTCTTATCAGCTTATCTACCTGGAGTGAACTCAACACTTCCAACATTCTTTTTGACTCAAAACAGGTTCCAGACCTTTAAATAAAGAAACAATTGAAATTTTAGAGGTATAACAACAAGATTGCACAAATTATCGCGTCGAGATCAAGTCGGAAGGAGTAATATTGACATGACAAGGGCGGACCAGGGGTTCAAAGTCCGAAGATTACATAACAACATTCTGACACGGTTTTGGGGGCGCAGTAAAAAACAGACCACATATATCGTGATCCGTAGGGCACATCACATATATCATGGTCTGGCTAGGAGAGACTACAGGAGGGGTATGAGAGTCTGTGTTTGGTGTGGCTGGTGTCATTGTACCACTAGTAGCAGTAGGAATAGGTTTGTCTGGGACAGGGTCTACCACTTTGGTAGTAGCCATAGCAGCTGTCTTGTTAACCACAATAGCTTCAACTTTGGTTGTGGTTGTGGTAGTAATGGTCCCATTTTCTGTCTTTTCTTCTATTTTAGTAGTTGTAGTTTCCTTTGATGATTTCTTCTTCTTTTCGTATTCTTTAAATCACATTGCATCAATGTTTCGAGTAATTCTGGTAAGAATTGTTTTTTGTCGCTGGAAGAAAAAAAAGTAGGATTCCAGAGGTTGAGTGGGTTTGGAATGTGAATTGAGATGCCCCTAGCTCGGCTTTTGAAATCTTTATAGAAGAACGACAGAAGAAAAGAAGAGGAAACAATCCCATCGCTCGGCGCTCGCCCAGCTAAGATAAGAGCCAAGGCACGTAGCGGACATGCCACAACGCAACGGTAATATTATTCTGTGGAAAAAAAAAGGTACATTGAACAATGAAAAAACAATCGGTTCGCAAAAAAAAAAAACTGCTTCATTACGATCCAATATTCGATCTAACAAAGATTTTTAAAAAGGACATTTTCAGAATTTTTTTTTGATGGCTTAATTCGACGACTACCCACATAAACGATATAATTCCCTGCCTCTAAGTCGACTTCCAAATGAACACTACGGAGATTAAAATCCGAATGACCAGATTCAGCGATAGGTTCCTTTTGACCTTCTTTGACAAGAGTAAAATCCATGGTCCAAGATGCTCGACCTGCGACATCTCTGGAATATCTTAAATCGAGTTAAGAAAGTACGATGATGGTGGTGGAAGGTCCCGGAAGTGAGAACGTAACTGTGGAAATATGTAGTGAGGAAAGATGATATGTAAAGGATTAGGAGAACTTACAGGTCACATCGCCATAAGACCAAGCGACGGGAAGAGGTGGAACGGGGACGTGGAGCCATTGAGATGACATCATCCAAGTAGAATCGAAAAGAATAGTCCTATCAATCGACACGAAACATTCCAACCAATCCAAATCTTCTTGGAATTAGCCAAAAAAAAGAATGAGGAAAGTTTATTTTCAAGCGCACATTCCATTACGAAATGCCCATCATCCCCAAACGTATGTCCCAATTTCGGTAAAACTCCCAACCATTCTTGTGTCCATTGCTTTAAACCATCCGACCATCGACCTGTCCATTCAGATTTTTTCCCCCATGGGTTACGAACGACAACGAATCTCTTTCCGTTACATTTTACCGCTCGAAGAACCGAATATGCGTAGTTTCCGATCAAGCTTTTGTACTTTAGTACCTGTGACGCCGCTTCTTGTACTGTCGAGGTTGTTGAATGAACATCCGAAAGGTTGGTCTTTGCTCTGCTCAGTTCTTCGTCCTAGAATCGTTCAGGTTCTAGTTGCGTTAAATTTATGTGAAGGATTTTTCGTCCTCTTTGAATCCAAGGCGAGTAGCTCTTCCGGATATGCTTTGATGTACCGTTGATAAGCGTAAACAACCCTCCAGCCCTTACACTACGCTAGCTCCTGGAGTGACCCATTTCAGGATCAGAAGACAGTTAGATCTGTTTTCGTGTATATGATTAGAAAGCATAAGATCACCCCAAAGCTGGCAAAATGTCTCGTTCCATGTCAAGTAATTGCTG